TTGCTCGATATCCGCCGTCAGTCCTTTACTTCATATCAGCCATCATCGAATTCTCGCTCAAACTATTGATAACATTACACCCTCTAATTATCTCCTTCAGCTCTTTACTCGATCAATAATTACCCACAGACTTCCACTCGATCGTCAATCATCGTTGAACTTCTGCTCAAATAGCATTGAAATTCTCCCCGTCTACTAATAACTTCTAGCTCTCCTCCCGAGTACTATTACTGCCATATCTTCTCAAATCACTCTCGTATACAAGAAGCAATTGATCTTTTTCTGTCAAGAGTTATATATTAAGAAGATAGTCTCTCATCGTAACTTTTTCTATACAAGAGAGGGGCACTAAAGCTTGATAAGGGAATGCCGTCTATCTACAATAGTGGAATATCTCCAATGTAAGAAGAAGAATGCAAGAGAAGAATAAGGAGGAAAAAATCTCCTTTAACACAAGAGGGGTATTGAAGCTTAATAATAGAATGCTGCCTATCTCCGATAGTAGAATGCCTCCAATGCAAGAAGAAGAACACAAGTGAAGAACAAGGAGGAAAAAATCTCCTTCTACACAAGAGAGGGGCACTGAAGTTTGATAGGGAAATGCCGCCTATCTACTATAGTGGAATACCTCTAATATAAGAAAAAGAACACAAGAGAATAACAAGAAGGAAAATAACTCCTTCTATATAAGAGAGGGGCACTGAAGCTTGATAGGAGAAAATCATCTATCACCGATAGTGAAATGCCTCTAATATAAGTAGTAGACTAGAAGGAAAAAAAAGAAATGAATCCAAAAAATTTAACTTCAACACATGGAGAGGGGCCCTGAATTTTAGTAGGGGATGCCGCCTATAAATAATAGGGGAATGCCTCAACTGTAAGAAAGTTAGAATGAGGGATGAGAAATAAAAGAAGCGATTGCAAAAAGTCTGACTTCTACACGAGAAGTGGGGTGCTAATTTAAGTAGGAAAAGTCACCTATATAAAATAGCAAAATGCCTTAACTGTAAGAAGATAGCCAGAGGAGAAGACAGTAGAAGGAGAAAAAAATTTCTTCTACACTGAAGATGAGCACTGAATTTAAGTAGGGAAAGTCACATACGAAAAATAACAGAAAGACCTCTAGAGAAAAAAGAAAAATAGGAGAAAAAGAATAGAAAAATTCTAACTTCTATACAAGAGGAGGGATGCTGAGTTAAGTAGGGAAAATCACCTACTAAAAATCAGCGAAATGCCTCGGCTGTAAGAAAGTCATAGGGAGAAAGAAGGAGCAAGTTTCCCTTGACCCTTGGGGGTATTTATATCATTTTTTGGAAAAGGATAAGCTTCAGGAAGAATCTAGAATTTTTTAAAATTTTTTAGAGTTTTTTGGAATTTTTTGAATTAAAAAAAATAAAAAATCAAAATCGCCGGTTCTACCGCCTACGCTTGTCCGAGCCTAATCTTTGGCCCGGATGGTCTAAATAAGATGTTTTGGGGTCTCTGAACATATTTTTTGATGTTTCGTACTCAATTTTGACACTTTCAGAGCTTAACGAGGCCTCTATAATTGAGTTTGAGCAAATTTATGTTTTTTAGAAAGCAATTTTTGCGATTTGGCCAATATAAAATATCATAATAAGTATTTTTGAATTTCTAAAACTTCAACGTCCTAAAATAGGGGAATAACTGATATATCATTAAAAAATTATATTGTTCGGGCATGAATCTCGAGGCAAAATAAAGTCGAAAACTTCAAAAATTAAATCTGAGATCACCTAAACTCTGATTTTAGCAAACTTATAGTCAAACTGAACGTTTCAGAAATACAAACCCAACAACACCAAATTCAACTCGATCTGAGCCCAAATGAGTCCGAATTTAAGACCCAAAGCACTATTGGAAGGTTTAAACTATAATTTGGTTTTACTAAATGGTTTCCAAATACGACGTGCTTAAAGTCAAATTAAGCGGCTCGACGAGACAAATCTAAAGAGCCCAAGATCACCAAATTCTGACATCATTAAGACCTTCAAATGTCTAACGAATAGTACACGATCAAGAGATTCAATATCGACCGTCCATCCAACCACTCCTCATTTACTCCTGATCTCTCACCTATTTATAGGCCATGCCACTTCCAAAATCTATAAATAGACCCCTCATTTTTCTTGAAATGGGACCCATGCAAGAAGAAGAAAAGAATAAGGATAAGAGAAGAGAATAAGGGAAGGAGGGAAGAAACACCTCCTCGACCACCATCGGAGTTCCTCCCGATGTTCAAGTGACGTTAGAGTTCCGTTTGACTTCCAAGTGAAATTGGAATTCTGCCCAAGTGACGTCGGAATTCTGCCCGACTTCCAAATAACGCAAGAATTCCGCCTGACTTTCTAGTGATGCCGGAATTCTGTCTGATCTCCAAGCAACTCTGGAGTTTTGCATGAACACCATATAACGTCGAAGTTCTCCCTGATCGCCGATTGATGTCGGACTTTTTCATGACGCCGGACCTCCACTCGTTGCCAGATTTCTAGCTGACGCCGGACTTCTGCCCATTGTCGGACTTTTGCCGAACATATATCCGATGATGGATTTCTTTCCATTGCTGAACTTCTATCTGACGTAGTCCTTCCGACCTCTGTCGCCATATAACGATCCTTATGACCTCTGTCGCCAGATAACGATCGGCAAATACGCACCGATCAAGCTAACACCCGCCATCATCATCTTCAAACACCATATTTTGATTAAATATATGTCCATCATTAATCTCAATTGTCTCTTAGCTTCTGATATTCGTCAGCAACCAACTTCTAATGAATATTTATATTTCTAAGGGGAATTTACATACATACCATCATGTATCGTCCTATATATTTACATATTTTACACCCAAAATTTTAATATTACGTATATAACACAATATATTACTTTAATATCAAACATGCCACTCATATTTTCTTCATACATGCCACTCATATATTTCATTTCTACCACTCATATTTGATATGAAAGTTATATATGAATGATATATACATAATATTAAAATTTTAAAAGTTAGATATAGAAATAGGATGATATATAATGATATGTATGATAATCTCCTTATTTTTAATTGTCCGATCTCTCGTCATATAAAGAGAAGGATCGATTCAAACCACTCAATATCATCCAACCAATAAATTTTCTTATATCATTACCTAACACATATCTACGATCGATGCCCGACGTTGATTAGATCGAATTGAATGTTTAATTATTTGTATCAAATGATGATAATGAATTGAATTAAATAATAATATTGAGGTGATCCAAATAATATAAGCCAATAAAATCTCTGCCAGTAGGTTAATATTGTGATTATACATATAAAGTTGATGTGAGCAACTACTATTCTTCTCCCTTTGTCTCCCACGTCGTGGACATGAGATGTGCTTGCACTGTTATGTAGGTGACCCAACTGCTTAAGAAACATATATATAAAGAATATGAGTATTAAAGGTAGCGTTTTCTTTTCATTATTTTATGAAGGTAGCTTTATAATCACTTTTCTAAAAAAATATATTCACCATAGACATATAACTCGTATATATCTAAATTAGAAAAATGTTTGGAATGATTTGATGACTTTTTATGAAGGATCATCACGATCCTCAATTATATTAAATGATCATTTTGATCTATCAAATCTTTTAAAAAATCAAAATAACCTAATTCAGGTTGTTCGAGTCTGACTCTAAACTTCTGTGACCTAAATAAGCTTTGACCCAAAGCCAACCCATTTATCGTGTGGGTAAACATATTTGACTCAAACTTGGCTCAACCTAAACACGGCTTATTTGGCCCATTTATCATATATATCATCCAATTTTTTAAATTATTATGCTGCATATGACCTCAAAAAGATCCGTTTAACTTGAACTAGACCCGCTTAAGTTGAACCCGAATGATAATCAACCCGATCTCGACCTAAAAATAAATAGGGTCAAGATCTCCAATCTTAATCACACCAAAAAAATTAACTAACCGAGTTGATTCAAACCTAAATCTTTTGAGTAAAATTGTTAAAATGAATGATTTCTTGTCACCTGAGATATAGTAGATTAAATTATTTCAAAGATGGTAAGATGAAGTGTTCAAATTTTTTTTACTCTCTTGATTTGGTGTTCTCACGATTAAGAATGCTGTGGAAAGTCAATCCATTGGGAGAAGGTAGTTTGTGGGACTCTTAATATATTACTTCACGTGTTTTGATCCTTACTTCTGCAGCAAAGATTATTTAAGAACATATATATAAACGTAATTTTTTTTCTAAAATAATTATTAGAAAATTTTCTATTAATTAAACGCCCAATTTTGTAATTTATTTCCATTATCCTTTTGGCGTGAAAAACAAACTACAAAACATAAATAAAGAAACACTTAGATCTTTGTGAAATCTTCAAATGAGTAAGAAAATCATGAACAAAAGAGAAGAATTCTAAAATGGGTAAAAATAGTTTTATGTATTATTATTATTATTTAAATAAAAATTATCCTAGTCAATATCCATCCCTGATGGCCAACGATTATTGTCATCACCAACCGTCTTTGCTACTTGGCCATCTCTACCCTATACCAAATTTAATAAAAACAAAAATAATACTTATTTAGAATATCAAATTAATTTTATTTTAAAAAAATTAAATAAAAATTAAATAAAAATATAACAAAAAGTCATCTCAACAGCTCCTTATTGGCTAGAATTAATGGCTATTATCCTTACCATATCATGTTGCTTAAAGCTTACAAATTAAACATCAATCATAATCCTCTTAATTAAAAAATTAAAATAAATTCATTTCTTCTTCTTAGAACAATATCATCAAATCTACACATAGCCATAAAACTCCCAAAATTTCATTATATATCTAAGTATTTTGAATGTAACTCACAAATAATTTAGAGAACCATCATAAAATTGAAAAAAAAATTATATAAATTTCAAATATTTTACATTTACACTGAAATTAATATAGTTCAAAATTTCATATAATCTAGTATTCATAAATCCAAATGATTGACATTTTTGGGGATATATTAATTCCCTTTTTTTTTCTTGATCACCCCCTGCTACGAACACGGATATGACAGAAGAAGTGCAGGAGACAAACATGGCGAATTCTTCCAAATCCTCGCATGCAGCCTCAGTATCCCCTTCGCCCTCTCCTTCTGCTTCGCCCCACACTCCACCTGCAACAACAAACAAAGCTTGGAAACCACTCCCACCTGCACCATCTCCTGAAGAACCGCTGGACTCGCCGACAGCTTCGCCACCTTCTCCACTATCCTCACGGCCCTTTCGCTCGCCACCGCCGATACCCTCAGTATCTTCTTCGACACCACCGCCACCCCTGCCGCATGTCCAATCAACACCGCCCTCCCCTCCGCGCACGCGCATAGTTTATCCAACGCCACGAGCGCCAACTCGCACGCTCTTCCGTCACTCTCGTCAAGCAAAAGATCGATCAGAGCGGAGACGGCGCCGACGTTCACTGCCTTAGCTCTATTCCTTCCCCAACAGAACAGCTCAATAAGAACTCGCAAGGCCGCCTTTGTAGCCTGACTCGATATTCGATCGTTCACAACGCTGACAATTTGATGCAAATTCTCCTTTTGAATAACGCTCGAGAGGATGATGGGTGACACCAATGGAACAATTGATTTGAGCAGTAAGGTGGCATAAGCACGAGATTTGTAGCTCGATCGATTCAAGGCTGCGAAGAGTGAGTCGAGGAAGCGCGGGTTACTTTTCAAGAGGGTTATAAAACGGTCATCGGAGATTTGAAGAGAGTGGAGGATGGCGAGAGCTTCGTCGCCGTGTTGTTCTAAGATGATGGAAGAGACGACGAATTCGACTGCTTCGGAAGACTGGACGATGCGGCGGTTGGCTTCGCTGGCGGAGATTATTTGCTGGAGTTCGTGGAGAGAGGTTGAGTGATTGGGTTTTTGAAGGAGGTTGGAGATGTGGGAGCGGTCGATTTGGGGGCGGGGCGTTGGGATTCTTTCGACGCCGTGGGAGGCGTTGGCGACGCACCAGGCTTGGATTAGGCGGCGGAGGGTGTGGTTCGGTGTTAGTTCAACGGAGCTTGGGAGAAGCTGGTTGGTGACGGGGCAGGTTTGGTGGCCGGCGTCGGAGAAGAGCCAGCGTTCGATGCTCTGACGGTCGAAGGAGATGCCGGTGGGGAGAGTGACGGGATCTCGCATCATTTGGAGAGAAATTGGGCAGAGGAAATAGGATGGGATTTCCACCTCTGCCATTAGCAAAATTGCTTTTTTAAGAAAAAAAGATGAAATTTTGTTGATTGGTCTGTAGATGGAAAGGAAGGATTCGACTCTATATAGAAGGGGAGCGTGAAAGGGGGGCAAAATCAGAGGAGAGGAGGTCAAACGCGTATGTTCTTTCTAACGAGGGACGGAGGAAGAAGATGAAATAGAATATTCAATATAAGGAGATTATTTGACGAAGTACAAAGTCAAAGCTTTTTGGTTAGGGGATTTTTCAATTTGTTCGGTTTTGATTTTTAAAACAAAAAGGTGATGGAAGAATTACAATCAATAATTGAGCTTTTGGAAGTAATAAATACTGTTACCAGGCACACAGTAATCCGTCGTGTAGGAGTTGGAGAGAGAGGGAAGCTGGAATTAGAATATTCTCAAGGAGTTTTGACATATTGCGAAGTCAACATTTTCAACTGGTTCGATTTTGAAAGTAAAAGAGGGACTTACTACAATTTTGCTTGGGGGGCAGTTGAAGTTATTTATTTTTTATTTTAAAAACTTCTTTCTTGACTACAATTTTAAAAAATATTTGTTCAAAAGCAATTTTTTACAAACAATAATTTGAAATAGTTGCGAAAAGTTGTCATTTAAACATTATTTTATTACTACTGAATTTCTTGTCATGCAAGCAATGAAAAAAACTATTTCAAATAAAGTCTAGAGGTTTATTTGGGATAACCGTTGTGAAGTTGTTGTGAGAAAAATAACTTTTGTATTTTAGTTGCAAGAAATAATTTTAGTTTATATATATAATATTAAAGAGAAATAATAATAATATTTTCTAAAGACTAAAATTGATTTTGATTATTGTTACTTATTTTTTGGAAGATTTGATGATTTGAGGTCTAATGATCTTAATGGAACAAGAATCCTAGATTAATTTTAATTGTTAGTTCAAAATGTAAGGGTTTTATTTTTTTAAGGGGAAACCCCAAAGGGGCTTACATGTTAATTAAGAAAAGGATTACAAGGTCTTTAAAGAGAACCTTCAGCTCGCCACTGCTCAAAAGAGTTATAAAATAATTAAAAATTAAACCTATGAGCCGATGGTTCCATGTACTACAGAAAATAGAATATCCTAATAGCATTCTAGGCCTGCAAGAATCAGGACCCAAAAAAGAAAGAAAAGGAAAGTACTTTCAGCATCGTTTTCCTACAAAAAAACCAACTACCCTCCAAATTCTCGATCCCTTTAACCTACAAGAGAAGCAAACTACAAAACAAACAAGAATTTGGCAAGAAATATGCAGTTTTATAACAAATCACATTTAAACACAAAAGGATACGAGTGTTGAACTAACCTAGCAGAATAATACCACCAATCTGAAATGGGCAGTCATTAAAGTTTTTGCAATGACCCAAAATTTTAGTAAACCAAGAGCAAAGATACCCCAAAATATAACAACAGATAATACAATTAAAGATAATAAGAAAAACAGTGTTCATAGTATTATAAAAGAGGAATGGGTAAGCTAGAAGATTGAAGCCATTGGTAGGAGGATAACTCGTTTGAGTAGTACCAGCACCACCATAATAAAACCCCAAATGCAACTCACAACTACCCAGGAACCACCAGCCAACAACAACACAGGAAAATATCATTCGAATACTTAACACCTAAAATCCTATAAAAATGATAGTATAATCCCTGTAAACCCAATTCCAAACCCAATTAAGAAAGCTCGTCAAAACAGACGAGCAGCAACCCAGCCCAAGACTGGTAGAACACACTAAAAACTATACAGGAAACTGGAAAAAATTAATAGAAGCCAGATGATAACAGCAGCAAGGATCCACAAGAATACAACCATTGCTGATATAATTAATAATAATCAGCAAACCAATGTTCATAGCATAAGAAAAAGAAGAAGTGTAAGCCAGAAGATTGAAATCATAAGTAGGAGTATAGCTCATGTGTGTAGTACTATTACCATCATAATATAACCCCAAATTCTACTCACATCTAATCCATGGAACTATCAGCCAACAACAGCACAAGATATCAGCCTTCAAATAGACATGAAATTTTGTTAACACATTATACTTAACACCATAAATGGAAGTAAAAGCCTAGGAGTCTTAGCTCAAAACCCAATTAAGCAAACTCATCAAAACAGTAGAGCTAAAAACAACCGCAAAAAAGGAAAGCAAAACCAATCTAAGAGAAATAATAAAAACGAATGTACGGTAGACCCATTCGGTCTAATCTAGCCAACCCTTTGATCTCTTTAGGAAGAGTATGATTATAGTATTCAATAAAATTATCTAAGGTGCAACCCAATTTAGCCAGATAATTGACAACAACATTCCCCTCTCTCAAGATATGAGAAATTTTATAAGTAATGAGAGAGAGCTAGTACTTAATATCTCTGAGCTGATAGAAATTAACCGAATTGGAAGAGATGTTACCATTGACATAATGGATAAGGAGCAAAGCATAACCTTCAATCCATAAATTAGTGATGCCAAGAGAATAGCTTAATTGAATCCCAAACAAGTGGCTTTCAAGTTCATCTTGAATCGCAGTAGTAGCATTAGAGGGACCAGCAAAAGCCACAATCACAACACCATTAGAATCCCGGATAGTACCACCACAACCCGCATTAGAATTATTCATGGCACCATCAGTATTAAGTTTAAAACGTCCGATGTCAGGTTTTCTCTAGTAAATAATCCTATCGATACAACCAGTAGCAGGGGAAATAAAATTCAACCCAAACTCACAAGCTAGATGAGGATAACCTTTAAAAGCTTAGCAACAAAAAGTTGATAAATTTTGTTCTTCACTTTTGAAATAACATTAGAAGCATCCATTTTAATATTCTTATGTTTATAATCATTTCTACTACTCCAAATAAACCAACAAATAATGTCAGGAAGAATATTATGAATATGACCTTTAGTAGGAGTAAAACGCTCATTGAAAAGATCAGCAATAGAGTTAAACTGAATAGTAGAAAGTACGTTAAACATATTGTCAAAATGAATCCAAACTTTCATAGCAATAGGGTCCTGAATAAACACATGATTCATATTCTCAATGTGATAGCAACATTGATATTTGGAAACAATATATAAACCTTTCCTAACAAAAATAGAATCCAAACACAAATAATTATACAAAATCCTTCAAAATGTAAGGGTTTTTACCCTTTGATCTTCATAAATAAAAGTCGATTGTATTAACAATCAAACTTGTGCACTACTTGTGCTAACCCTCTCCTTCATACTAATTATGCATATGTTTAATATCATCAATCTTGGTTTCTAGATAAATTCATCTTTGCATTTGAGATTATCAAAAGCATTAATCCCAAATTAATCAATGTAGAACTAACCGTTTGATTCAAATATCTAAATCTTTAGTCTATGGATCGACCTTTTCATTATCAATAAAATCTTTATGATCCAAAAAGAATCTCAAAAAATTATATAGCAAGATTCCTTACACTTTGATTGAGAAAGAGGATCAAAATATCATCCATTAATGGAATTTAATTTGTCAAATAAAAAAAAAGTCAAATAATCTTAAGTAGATGTATCATAAACTTTATTGATTGATTAACTTTGTATACTGATTGGCCACTTAGGGCCTCGTCTTAATGCATGACAACATTTGTTGTCCTCATTTATTTTTATACATATGTTGCAGATCAGTTGACATCATATATGTTTGATCATGCTTTGAGTCTTTTTTTTTATATATTTTATTATTATTGAATATTTATTTTACTTTTATTCGTAATTTTTTTTATAAAACACACTTATGAGGCCTACGCATTAATTATAAAAAAGATTACATGTCCTTAAAGGAATAAATGCTCTCTAAAGACAAAAAAATACATTCATTTCAAAGTAAAATCTATTGAGCAAATGTTCCTATCTAATACAGAAAACAACAAAATAAACAAGACATGGAGGCAAAAATCCAATCCTCAAAAAGAGCTTGCGAAAGATTATCAATGAGGATCAAGAACAAAGAGAAGACAATTTTTTTTAATAAACTTTGAAGCTCATCCAAGTACCAGAAAAAGATCAAAGAATAGGCGCAACTCCGAGCCAACTATGGAGCCCAAAGAGAAAGCAACAACAATGCCACATAAGCACAAGAGAACCACTAGTGGATCACCAATAAACCAGCCTCCATATATACCATTGTTCCCAACAAAAAAAGACCATAAGATCCAAACATCATATTTAATGAAGAAGAGAAAAAGCATATCAAATTCCCAAACGTTGGACAATTGTATGCAATCCAAGCAAAATACCTCATCTCAAGCAGATAACACCACATCAGAAAAAACCAATCTCTGATGACTAGCTACTCCAAACCATCAACATGATATATCTAAGCATTAGAAATCAGTTTAAGTGCTGCAATTAATAAATCTAGTGGTTCTGACATCAACTAGGATCTTATTCATACTTTTATGTTCATTTTTTCCCTCTTTTTCTTACTAGAAATAAGAAATCCATCACATAACAATTATATTTTAACACATAACAAATATATTCGAGACATAAAATTCATACTCCACAAACTCAAACTTTCTAGCAAGTAACAAATATATTTTACATTATTTTTAAAATAGAAAAACACTTAATATTATAATTATAAATGTATATTATATTAGAAATAATAAAAATATTAAATATTATATTTATAAATATATATCATATTAGATCTGATATATCATAAAAAAATTGTCTTACTTTGATTCAAATCTAGAAGCAAATTTGAGTTTTTGGCTTCAAAAATTAAAATCAGGATCATTCAAACTTTGATTGCAGCAAGCTTATAGTCAAATTGAGTAACTAAAGGAGACGAACCCAATGACACCAAATTCAATCTAATCTGAGCCCAAGCGGGTCTAAATTAAATGACCTAAGCCTATTTGGAAGCTTCAAAATATTAATTGATGATATCAAAATTTGACCTGCTTATAGTCGAATAGAACAGCTTGATGACATTAATCCAACGAGCCCAAGATTGTCAAAATTTGACATCATTAA